GAGAAGGTATTAGTATGAGGGCAAGAGTGAGATACAGATCTATCTCCAGACTCAATCTCTCAGCCATCCCTCCCTTTAATCAACCACAACACATGAAGTTCTCAGATCAGAAAAAGCTAAGTGCTTTATATAAGGCAGAGCTAATAGATACAAATCATTTCAAATGATAGATTAAACATAGTAATTCAAGCACAGGGACCCAAAGATACTTATCTTACCAAAAGAATATTAAAGGGTTTGTCATAATTACACGGGGCACAAATTCTCAGCTACTTTATGAGGACCACAATTAAAATGACTTCTGTGTACAGAGATGGATCAGTAAGATGTGATGAAGATTTCTCATGATCTGTGTTTTATGTTCTGGCAACATGCAAAAGATGTGGGCACGCAAGACAGATCACCTTGAGCTGTGCTTTGGTTAGGTTCCTGCTTGTCTGTTTTGTGGCAATGAGTTAGTGTACTGCTGTCTTTTATATGTACACTATGCTGTTAGAAGAAATGGGAACATTTGGGATTATAGTGATACAGAAACGGGAGATTACAACACACAAATGCCAATGTCTGTGAACACTGGAGAAGGGGACATTCTCCCAAGGTCCATGCAAATGCAGAGAAATTTAATGAAGAAGAAGCCATATGTAAACGATAAATGACTGAAAGACTATGGTGAGCTTTGGTTATACATATGCCCATTGTCTCGCACCAAAAAAAAAAAAAAAAAAAAAAAAAGGTGGCAAACAAGGGTAGAGAGTTCACTCCAGGGTTCAGAAAACTTATCTGTAAACTTAACTAATTGTCATTCCCTGTTAGGAAATATTTTCTCTCTTTTATTGTTTCTGTCTCTCTAGGACATATTTTGAGGAATCATTAAAGTTATAGAAATTCTCATCCAGATCTGTGTGACTGAACTAGAATCCTCATTTTACTGAAACCAAGAGAGGCTGAGTGAGTTGTCCAATACTATGAACCAGGCCTATGTGTGAAAACAAGATTATAGATACTCCACTATGACTTCAAAATTCTACACCCCAATGTTGATGTCAGACTAATATGTCCAACTGCCTCAGAAACATGTATGAACATTCCCTTGTTACGTGTCTCACAGGATGGACCAAACAAACACAGATTGAACTAATCTCCAAAAGCCCAGGAAATGAAAGAAAAAATACAAAGCAGAAGGGGTATCCTAGGGAATAAGATTCTAGAAACATAGTAATATTAAATGCAATTGTGTGGTCATTGCTTGGATTCTGCATCAGAAAAAATTATAAAGGATATTACTGGGAAATTGGTAAGATATTAATGTGAATTTAATATTTAAAAATATTGCTGTTTCAACATTAACCTCTTGAACGATGATGGTAATGGGATTACATAGAAGAATATCCTTGTTCTTGGGAAACAGTGCTGCAGCAGTTAGCAGTTAGCAGAGAAGCATTTGCCATAGTGCCTGAAAAGCCAAAGAGGTCAAAAATATGTACAGTGAAACCTGTGAAAGCCAGAACTCAATGTGACTGCCTTGTTTTTTTTTTCTGGGTCTGGCAAGTTTTCAAACGTTTACCATGTTTCACTTAAATTTTCTATTAGTGGAAAATATTTGCGTTTTCCTTCTTTGACAGGTTTCCGCCTTACAGTTTACAGCTTTCACAGGTTTTACTGTATAGGTATATTTCCGTGTGTATGTGTAGCATAGTGCCTAAGGCACTTGACTGCTAACCAGAAGGCATGCGGTTCAAACTCACCAGCCACTCCTCAGAAGGAAAGTTGGGCAATCCTACTTCTGTAGTGATACTGCCTCGGAAACCCAAGGGGGGGGTCACCATGAGTCGGGTCCGACTCGACGGCACATAACAACAACAACAGTGTAGTCAGCACATAACAACAACAGTGTAGTGAGAAAAAGGTAAGATAAAGTATGAGTGAAAAATGTTAACAATATGTAAAATCAGATGAAATCTAATTTAACTTTCCGTAAACATAAAGTCATTTTTAACATAAAGTTAAATGAAAAAACAAAACTCATTCCTAGTTAAAAAAAAAAAAATTAACAGAACAAACAAATATAATTGTAGTTGCAGAGGGAGAAACACACATGCCTTTACCAGGAGATTGTCCTATACTCAAAATGAATTTAGGGTTTGTAATGACTAAACAATATTAATAAAAAAGAACTTCCCTCCACTTAATAGGATCTTCCAGTGAAGTCGGCAATGTAATTATGGCTGTAAAATCTCCTGGTTTTTATGAAATGTGAGACTTGCTATAAAAATCAGCAGAAAAAATTAAGCAGGTTTACCTTTCGATGATTTGAACAATAATAAAGTTATGGGCTAGTTTTTAGCTGCTCTTTGCATCAAAGCATTATACTTTCTTCGTGACTAAACGTGTACTACTTCCCTTTTTGAATGTTAGGTAAGACCAAGTTTAACAAGCTCCAACTTGAGAGTGCATAATGTGCTTTCAGAATAATGCGTGTTAACTTTTCATTTCTTAATTTGCATCACCAAAGAAGCACTTAAAATACACCAAACCAATGGTTATGCTGGTGCCCCCAGAGACATCACTTCCCAAGTTAGTAAAGAAAAGGAAAAACCTAATCTATCCCTTCCCTACTCCAGGAAGAGAAGAGGAGGTCACATACTGCACTGAAGGCCATCAGCTCCCTCCCTCCTGGGAAGATTTTCACAAATAACCAAGCCATATACAACCAATGTTACAACGTAGGAAGAAAGATAGGAAAGACTCATGGATCCTTTCTCAAATGTAGAAGGACTTGCACATGATTCTCCCTTTCACAATTTCTTTTAAAGGCTCTCAAAACCAGGTAATGTAATTCTGAACTACCAAAACAGTTCCCTTTCAAATTCAAAACAATAAAGTGTGCCAAAAACATCATCAGCAACACTACACAGGAATGACATTTTCTGTACAGTAAAAATCAGTATTAGGTTAGTTGACCCTAACAAGACAATGTCAACCTAGGTTTTAAGCATATTGAAATGTAAAGTAGATTTAAAAAAAAAAAAAAAAGCTGTTTTTCTTTTCACAGAAGCTTGTAAAATGATTCTCCAAATAAGCTTCTAACAGATGGTGATTTTATACACACCACTGGAAATTTGGGATGGTAATCCTTAGAATATACAGACAAAATCTTTGTTCAACATGCTTTTTAAGAGTCTACAAGGAATGTTCTCCCTTTGAATTGATGGTTTTTGAGACTCGGCAGTTAGTTGTTCTGTACATTTATTGCTTTTGAATCACAATGGCAAAGGGGCAAAATGCTTAATCCAAAAAGGACAAGCCTCCCAAACTAAGATCCACATGGCATAACCCTCCTCAAAATGAAAGGAATCTCCTTCAAATGTGAACAAGAAATCCATGTAGACATACAAAATGGCACAAGGGAAAGTAGAACTTAAGTCATGAAGGATTGTATATGAATTCTTATAAGATCTGGTGGTTCAAACCCACCAGCACTCCTCGGAAGGAAGATGGAGCAATCTACTTCTGTAGTGATACTGCCTCGGAAACCCAAGGAGGGGTCGCTATGAGCCGGGTCTGACTCGACGGCACATAACAACAACAACAAGCCATTATAATTTGCCTAACTTGTTCAGAGACCTTAACTAGAGCTGGTTGTTCATCCACAAGGTACTTGAAAATGAAAGCCAGATGCAGCTGAGTACATTCTGACTCATGGTGACCCTGTGCGTTGCAGACTAGAACTGCATTCCATAGAATGACCTTCTGGAGACAGATCACCAGGCCTTCCTTCTGAGATACCTCTGATTGGGTTGAACCACCAACCTTTCACAGTAGCACAGTCCTTAACTGTTTGTGGAACCTAGGGACTCCTATATGATACTTAACTACAACCCTAAAGAGAATAGAAAAACTGTTAAAGATGAAGTCTTATTTTCCATGTTTAGAAAAAAGAAATAAAAATATTTTTTTGATATCCAATTGCTGGTATTTAAGTTTAACATACATTCATTTTTTCTGTATAAACACACAAAGAAAACCAAATAGTACATACATCATTTCCTTAAGGCATAAGTAAAAACCCACAGCCATTGAGTCAGATCCAACTCATAGCGACCCCTCCTTGGGTTTCCGAGGTAGTATCACTGCAGAAGGAGTGGCTGGTGGGTTTGAACCGCCAGCCTTCTGGTTAGCAGTCAAGTGCCTTAGGCACAACATCACCACAGACCTAAATAACACCTATTATTGATTTATTAATTTCCAAAAGATTCCATCTTTATTATTTTCACCTTTAATCTTTGGTCCAATTTTATTTATTTGTGTGAAAGTTGCATTCAAGAATGTAACATCAGAGTCTTTTTGCAATTTTTACTGAAAGTTCTCAAATTAGTTACAAATAAGAAAAGTATTTGATTATATAAATTTGTCATTATGAGACAATTTAAAAATAAATAAAACAAGTCAGTCATCTTGTGAAGAACATTCAAGGGATTCAGTGACTCATCCCTTAAATAACTGTATTTAAAACAATTTGTATATTTATATTTGTGTAGGTATAAAAACCAGTCTATAGATTTCATCAGATTCTCAAATGAGACAGCAGGTCTCCAAAGTTACCAATTACTGGTATAAATACATTTTTAGTTTTTAAATAACAAATAGATGAGTATTTAAAAGAATTTATCTTTCATAACACATATTCTGATTCCTTTCAATCTGGAATTTAATTATCAGGAAAGCTGTAAATATATATTTTCTAATTAACAATTAAAAAAAAAAAAAATCTAAAAGTGCTATCTGGATTGTAGGACCCAACCTGAGACTTCACCCCTGCCTCCTATGAGTCAGGTGTGACTTGATGGCACATAGCAACCACCACCATCATAAACAGTCTTCTGGAATTCTGAGTTCCAGCCCTCTGCGCTACCTCCAGGTGAATCACCGTCTGATTCCTGCAGGTTCAGGAAATACTCTTCCCCAGTCACACATCTCACTTACTCTTAGATGTGAGTCATTTGCATTAGCAAGAGAGCAAGTTGCTCCAGTTGTTCCTGGGCAGGAGAATTTGAAAGGGTGCCTCAGAGGACAATCTTCAGGGAGGCAGGGGGAGCACCTACCTCCCCTGGTAGGGGAGAAAATGCTTGTTTTTTTTGAGCTTTACCAGAAAGCCCAGTTTTCTGCCAACCTTAGCCTTAAAGGTTATTCTTAATTAAAGAAGCCTGTTTCAACTTGAAGACACCCGTATCAGGTGAATGGACAGCCAGCCACCGCAATGAAAGGTAAATGAAAACTTTTTTTAAAGATTTTCTTGAAAGCTGTGGTTGATAGGACCCTGTTCTGATTAAGGCTGTGATAATACTCTGAGGTCTGAATCTGAAGTTTGACTAAAAAGTAAAAATTAGAATGCTGACTGAATAAAATAGGTAAATTGTCTTTGGGAGGTACCACTTTCCAAAACAGGGGCGTTACGTCCTTCCCAGAACTTCACTGTTTCCACATCAGGCAGGCAGAAAATGTAAACTGAACAGCATGCCTTCAAGATAGGAAACAGTGTTCTGATAATCACCTGTATTAAGGGATTTTTTTAAAATCACATTTAGTTTATAACATGAGTAAAATCCAAAGTCCTCTAAAATTGTTTCCCACTACCCAAGACTTAATTTTATTTCATAATTCATTTACATTTAAAAAAAAAAAGAAAAAGTTTATTTTCTGTCCCAGTTGCCTGGTTTTGATAAACAAATCTCAATCGTTTCGTTCTACCACAAAGAACAGGGCAATCCTCATTCTGATTCCATAAGAAATCATGTTAAAACATGTCAGGAAAGTGACTGAGAAAACTGTGCAGCTACTGACAAATAGCTTTGCAACAGCTTAACTTTTCTTAACTTTCTAACTGTTAGCGAAGTTTTCATTTTGGTGAGGAAAACAAGAAGTTAAGCACAGAGATTTGAACTCTACTAAATTAAAATAAAGAACTCTGGTAGCATAGTGCCTAAAGCACTTGACTGCCAACCATAAGGCTGGCAGTTCAAACCCAACAGCCGCTCCTCGGAAGGAAGGTTGGGCAATCTATTTCCATAGTGATACTGCTTCAAAAACCCAAGGAGGGGTCAATTTGAGTTGGGTCCGACTGGACGGCACATAACAGCAACAACAAACTAAAATAAGTACCTTAAAGAGGTGAGGCTTAAGGTAGGGTATCTTTTTGATTTATTACATTAGATTTATCTAGTACATAATTTTATATCATATTCTCAAGTTGAATCTGCTTTCACGTTAGCAATATTAACATTTTTAACAGTTTTCTAATTAGAGACTCCAATTTACTAACAATATAAACTGCACAATGTTTGGTTCTATAGAGCAGGACATCTTTGGAGTGGGGGGAGGCAGACAAACACCCTTTTGATACCTAATTTCATAATTATTTGACCGTTCGAAGTTAAAAATCTTTCTTTCCTTCTTCCACTAAGTTAAGGATTAAAGAGGTGTGTTTTCCTAGTCCTTCAGGAAATTCCACCCTAACACTACATTTTTCAACACCTCTGTTGCATTGGTTTGCATGGGTTAAGGAGAAGGAGCTAGAGAAGCAATCTGAGTGCTGAATACTGTATTTAAGGATACAGACTAGAAAAAGAAAGCTTTTAGTCAGAAAATTGTAACTATTTCTTGAATAGACTAAGGGAAAATTTTCATAGCCAGAGACAATATGCTGATGGGGCTTATTGCATTTGGGGACAATGCAATAAGCACTGGATGGAGTGGAAGAAGGAAGACTAAATTAGAAAAGATGTTTTTATTTCAGTTCATATTGTTTGGGTCCTTCAGGGTCTGCCTGCTTTTCTTCCTTCCATGACATCTTAGCTTTCACTTCTGTTAAGTACAAAAAAAAAATTTCATGCTAAGCTCTGTACTCTGAGAAAACATCACAGAAATTTAAGACCACAGTGACATTTTTTCTTTGTTTGCTTCTGAACTGAGGAAAATTCATGAAAATAAACTCAGAAAAGGGCATCGTTATAAAGGCAGAACAGAAGAGAAGTGAGATCCAGAAAAAGTCATCTCCCTGGAAACATCCTATATTCTCAAGGGCAGATGTTCCCTGCACAGGCATGAGACAGTGGTTTGATTTAGGGTGGAAAGCTCTAGACAGAATCCTCAGCAAAATGAGCTGGGTTTTAGGGCTGGTTATGCCGAAGGTTATCAGTGTGACCAGGACAAGCCTCGAAATTCCCCAGGTGCTCACTTTTCTCCCTCACAAGTGAAATGAGGGACTTAGAATAGACGACTATGAGAGCCCTCTTGCATCTCATGACTCCCACCAGGCAGGAGATGTGGCAAGGTGCTAGGCTTATCTCTCAAGAAATCCAAGCCTTTGACCAACCACTCAGAAATCATCAAGGGAAACTGTCCTCTCTAGTTCTGCCTTCTTCAGTTCTGTTCCCGGCCAGCTGCATGATATTAATCAAATCTCAACCCTCTAGGCCTCAGATCCTTCTTCTGGAAGATGGAACTGAACACTGTTTGCACCTACTCTCTCAGCTGGAAAGTTATGCATGAATACAAATGCAAGGGGCAGCTGCTGCTCTTATAGTTGTGCCCATTTGAAGCAGAGAGGCAAGGGCTGAGGTAGACATGACCTTGATGTTAATACTAGGTAAGATTAGCCATACATACAACATCAAGATGAACTAGAAAGGAGACTCATACCTTCTGCTTCCAGCCAATGACTGAAGCCAAGCTTCCACCTGACCTGGCAATTACTTACAAACTTTTCACCACATTATATGGCAAATATAGACATAGTAGAAGATTTGTTCTCCAGTCTGTATCTAATGAGCCTATTTTATGTTTCATTCATATTCTTACCAAACATGAAAGTTTTACTGTAAAATGTAGTTGGGAAATTGCACTGATTAAGTTCCACTTAGTGCAGAACATCTCACTGAGTCAACCATATCTGTGATTCCATAATTTCTTTTGAAGAAATTGAAGAATTTTCTAATAATTGCTGTCATTTTGGAACAAGATGATAATTTTCTTAAATGACCCTTTCTAATGGTAGTGTAGTGCCTAAGGCACTTGACTGCTAACCAGAAGGCTGGGGGTTCAAACCCACCAACCACTCCTCAGAAGGAAGGTTGGGCAATCTACTTCTGTAGTGATCCTGCTTCAGAAACCCAAGGAGGAGGGGTCGCTATGAGTCGGGTCTGACTTGATGGCACCTAACAACAACAACAACAACAACAATCCTATGAGGGCAGTTTTATAGAAAAGGACTGAGGCACAGAAGGATTAGGTAACTTGTCCAAGTAAGTGGAAGATCTGCAATTTAAATGCAACACCTTTTTTAATACATCAAAATATATCTAAATGATTTAGAACAGTCCTAGGTGCACAATATTTGGCAACATTTTCTGAACCCTTAGGTCTCTAGGTATAAGAAGCTCTGGTGGCATAGTGCCTAAGGCATTTGACTGCTAACCAGAAGGTTGATGGTTCAAACCCACAAGCCACCCCATGTAAGGAAGACTAGGCAATCTACTTCTGTAAAGATTTATGGCTTCAGAACGCCAAAGGGGGTCGCTATGAGTCAGAATCAACTTGATGGCAGTGAGTTTGGTTTTTGGTTTTAGGTCTCTAGGTTTAATAAGGAGCTCTGGTGGTGCAGTGTGTAAGGCATTTGACTGCTAACCAGAAGGCTGGCAGTTCAAACCCACCAGCCACTCTGCAGAAGAAAGACTGGGCAATCTACTTCTGTTAAGATTTACTGCCTCATAAACCCAAATGGAGTCACTATGAGTGGGTCCCTAGGTGGCACAAACAATTTGCGTGCAACAATAAAGGTTAGTTGTTTGAACCTAGCCAGCAACTCCACAGTAGAAAGGCCTGGTGATCTGCCCCCATAATAAATATAGCCAAGAAAACTCTATGGACAAGAGTTTTCCATAGAAAAGCAAATCCTACTGCATATATAATACTGCATTATCAGTAACAGCAAACACTAATCTACAGGTGGATACATAGGTAGATAGGCAAGAAGATCAGGTATGGATAGGTGAATGGGAATATACTCATGACCACACGTAAGTTTGGTAGACACTATTCCTACATATGTATTTGTATGTGCTATAAAAAATGTCCATATGCAGTTTAATCCTAACAAAAACCAAAGTTAGGATAACTTCTTAGCCACAACAAAGTACTTTGAGAGAGAGAGTTGCTAGGCCTGTGGGCTGTGAACCATTGTCACAGAGGACATCAAGCTCAACTGGCACAACATGGTATACAAAAATACTGTTTTACATCTTACTTCAGTGAATAGTGACTAGGCTCTTAAAATCTTGTGAATGGCCATTTAAGATACAACTATTGGTCTCTCCTTGTCCAGAGCAAAGAAGAGTGAAGAGAATCAGAGACACGTGGAAACAGTCTACAGGACTAATGGACTATGAGAACCTCAGTCCATATGATCCTGAGACCAGGAGAACTAGATGGTACCCAGCTACCAATGCTAACCACTCAGAAAGGGATCAAAACTGGAGATCCTGGATACAGTAGGAGAAAAAATGTAGAACAAAACTCAAAATCATGAAAAAAGACCAGGTTAAAACCTCTAAGACTATGGCCCTGTCTCACCCTTCAGGCCTGGAATTGAACTCACTCCTGTGGCTTAACTCTCATCTAAATAAAAGATATGCCTATGAATGGAACACCTATACCAATGCCTTAGAACAATCAACCATGAGAGAAAATTTTAGGTTAATTTTAGTTATAATTAATTTAAAAAATTAAAAACTACTCTATGGAGCAGTTTTACTCTCTGACGCAGGGTGTTGCCATGAATTGGAATCCACAGGACAGTAACGGATTTGGTTTATGGGTTTTTCGTTTGTTTGTTGCTGGTGGGAGTGGGAGTGGTGATGGTATGCTTAACACAGAGTTTTCAGCTGCCAGAATTAGGGTTTTCCTGTGTCCTGTAAAGGCTCTTAAACTGAAGATACTATTGGCTCTTAGCTACCAGGGCAACTCTCCAGAGGACACAGAATAGAAACTCCATTTTTCAAGGCCTTAAGTCTAGAGGGTACTCTTTGATAAATACAGCAAGATTCTGGTTCACACCAAAGCAAAGGACAGTCTAGCAGTAGAGGGCAACAAAAATAAAATAATCCCAGATCCTTGTACTAAATGACCATATGATCTAGTTCAAGAGAGAAGAATGATGTAAGAATACTTGGGCTATTTACACGTAATAGAGCAATCAGCTGTGTGGCTC